ATATATATATATATATATATACACACTAAATATCTGACAGATGGTCACTGCGATTCTGATTTAACATCTAAGGCCAGTCAGGCAGTGGTGGTGGCGCACGCCTTTGATCCCAGCACTCTCAAGGCAGAGGCAGGTGGATCTCTGTGAGTTCGAGGCCAGCCTGGTCTACAGAGTGGGTGCCTGGACAGCCAGGGCTCCACAGAGAGGAGACCCTTCCTCCAAACAACAAAAGCACGCACAGTTCCACCTCACCCATCAGAACAACTAGCATTAAGAAAACAATAAACAGGCCAGGCGCCGTGAAGCGCACCTGCAATCCCAGCACTTGGGAGGCAGAGTCGGTAGAGCTCTGTGAGTTAGAGGCCAGCCTGGTCTACAAAGCCAGTCCAGGACAGCCAGGGCTCCACAGAGAAACCCTGTCCCAGGGGGAAAAAAAATGCTGGTGAGGGTGCTTCCAGAAATAAGCCCTTCCGGGTACACTGCTGGTAGACGTGTCTATGAGTCCAGCCACTGTGGAAATCAGTGTGAGGGGCCCTCAGAACACCAACACAAAGTTTGCGTTCACTCAGCCACACCACTCTTGGGTAATAGCCGAATGACTTAGATCAACACACCACAGAAACCTGCACATATGTGGCCTGCCGCCCTATTTAACAGCCAAGTTATGGGATTGGTCTAGGTGTCCATCAACAGGCAAATGGATTAAGAAAACAGGACATACATAGATAATGGAATTTTACCGAACTATAAAGAACAAAATCATGTCATTTCTGGAAAATGGATGCAGTCAGATAGCATCACATTAAGGAAGGTGAGTCAGACTCAGAAAACAATTATCATATTCCATCTGTTAGATCCTAGATTGTATACATATACATAAAAATTACATACGTATATAAGGGATGAAGGGAGGAGCAAGACTATCTGCGGGAATGTTTGGAAATAACAGGAAAGGGAAGGGGTCAATGTACATAACAAGTTTGTATGGAAATGTATTTATAAATTCCATGCCTATGCACAATCAATTTTAAAAACTGTTGAATTGTTTGCAAGAAATGTAAATTCAGTATAAATTTAATTAATTAAATTTTCTAGTATCTAAGTATCCTTGGGGAAATTGAGCTTGTTAAGTTATGCATCCCAAGTACTTAAAAAGAAAACCAAATATATTAAAATTATAAATGGAGTTAAATGTTTGAGGGAACTGTAATTAAACTGTAAGTAGTGCTGAGTGTCTAGAGGAATTTAGTTTGTTCAATTTGAGTTCCAACATTAATAAAAAAAAAAGTTAGGGTTGTTTTTCTTATTTTCCTAAGTTTTTGTGTAGAATATTAAAGACTTTTTTTCCCCCACTGAGACACAGTCTCACTCCATAGCCTAGGGCTGGCCTCAAACTTTCAGTATTTCTGCTTTAGCCTCCCAGAGTGCTGGGATTACAGCTAAGCACCACTATTCCTGGCTCAACAATTACATTAAAAAACAATTTTTTATTTTCCCAGAGACAGAGTTTCTCTGTGTAGCCCTGGCTGTCCTGGAACTCACTCTGTAGAACAGACTGGCCTTGAACTCAGAGATCCGCCTGCCTCTGCCTCCCAAAAGGCGTGTGCCACCACCTCCTGCCTTAAAAACAAAACAAAAATTAAGACAAGGTCTCACGATGTCCTTCTGACTGGTCTAGAAGTTATTAGTGTTATGTAGCTCAGGTTAGCCTCAAGCTCACAGTGATATACCTCCTCTGCTGTTTAATTACTGGGATTGAAGGGATGTGCCACCATGCCCAGCATTTAAAATTTTTACTAAAAAAATTTTAAAAAAAGTTTTATATTTTTAAAAAAATTTATTTTATCTGCATTGGTATTTTGCCTGCAAGTTACATCTGTGTGAGGGTGTCAGACCCCCTGGAACTGAGGTTACAGACAGCTGTGAGTGGCCATGTGGGTGCTGAGAACTGAACCCAGGTGCTCTGGAAGAGCAGCCCAGGGTCTTAACTGCTGAGCCATCTCTCCAGTACCCTAAAAATTTAACTTGAAATATTAAATAAATAAAATTAAAGCTGGGCATGATAGTTCATACCTTTAATTATAGCAACAGGGAGGCAGAAGCAGACGGGTCTCTGGAAGCTGAGGCCAACCTGGTCTACAGAGTGAGTTCTAGGACAGCCATGGCTATTAGAAAGACCCTATTCAGGGGTTCTCAACTTTCCTAATGCCGCCACCCTTTAATACAGTTCCTCATGTTGTGGTGACCCCCAACCATGACATTATTTTCATTGCCACTTCATAACTGTAATTTTGCTGCTGTGATGAATCCTAACAGTTAGAAATTACTGACAAAACTTTAGAAGTCTTTCCCCGTGGGCTTACCACTTACGGCCCGAAGAATCTGCAGGCTGCTTTGCTTTGCAGGTAGCAAATACCCACACTGAGAGTAACTACTCTCAGTAAACTTTCCTGAGTCCACTTCCTCTTTTGGTCCCTAATCAGACTGTTGATCTTTACAGATTATTTAAAGTAGGAAGTCAGGACTGATCAAGATCACATATTGTTAAAAGGAGAGCTAGGCCCAGAAATCAGTCCTGGGTTTACTTAATTGATTAATCAATCAATCAATTAATTAATTAAACAAAAAGAGGCTCATATAGTCCAGGCTGGTCTCACACACTGTGTCACCAAGGATAACTTCGAATGTCTGCTCTTCCTGCCTCCACCTCCCAAGTGCTGGGATCATAGTCCTGTGCCATAATGTCCAGTTGGCAGTCCCTATCCCCGTCTCAGACCAGTCCTCTAAACCTCAGAATTATAGTCTGATGGTTGGTTCCTGGCATGCACATTTGATAGCTCACAACCACCTCCAACTCCAAGGGATCTCATACCTTCTTCTGGATTTTGTGGGCATTGCCATTCAGGAGCACATACCGACTCCTTCACCCACCCTATACACATGCATAATTTAAAATAACGAAAAATAAACCTTTAAAGCACACATACAGGCCAGGCTTAGTAGTACATGTCTACATTTCAGCCTTCCTGAGACATCCGAGATGGGAGTATCATCAGTTCAAAGTCAGGCTAGTTAATGTAGCCAGTTTCAGGCCAGCCAGAGCATGAAACCTTGTCTTCAAACAAACAAAACCATTTAGACCCTGAAGTCAAACCTTGACTTACCCCTAGATGTTAGTTCTTTTTTATTTGTTTGTTTGCTTTGTTTCTGAGGACACTCTGCTTAGCTCTGGCTGTCCTGAAATATGTAAACCAGGTTAGCCTTGAACTCAGATCTTCACCTGCCTCTGCTTCCAGAGTGCTGAGACTACAGGCAAACACAATGGAGCCTAACTCTTAATTCCTTTTTTTGCACACATCTGCTAGCTTGCTGTCTCCTACTTCCCAAAATGCATTTCAAATCTCACCATATTCTAATCCACTCTATTCTATAATATCTTTCTCTGTAATTTCCCTTCTTTGGTCTATGTTCTACCAAGAAGTCAGAAAATTGTTGTCTTGGAGGCTTAGTGTGAACCTAGGCCTAGTCCTGGAAGCTTCTCGCTTCCCTAAAATCTAACCCAGGCCTAGAATGTTTTCAGCCTCTGGGACTTAATGCTTAATAAGCTCACCCTTTCTTATTCTTACTGAGCTCTGGCTGGCTGGTTCAACCCAGCTGTTCTGGTTCAAACTCCTCTCCTAGCTGACTTATTCAATCTGGCTTTTCTCTCAGCCTCTGAATTGCTCTGCTTGGCCTCAAATTAACTCCAGCAATCTTTTCTAATCTTCTGTCTCCTCATTCTCTGGCTCATTCTGTCTTCACCTGGGTCTAGCTTGTTCTCTCTTTAACCTCTTTCTGTAAAACTGCCTCCTCCTCTCTATCTTTCTACTTTGCCTCTTATGTAGTTTCCCTTTTCTCTCTCTTTTCCTTGAGTGCATCCTAGTCTGTCAAATCTCCTCTGATTCATCACTTTTTCTGCCACTCAATTAGACATCACTTTCAAATATGGGTGCTTCTTTCTACAAACTATCTTTACCTTCATTGTTTGGGATTAAAGGCATGTATCGCCATGACTGGACCTAAGCTTTTCTTTACCTGAAACATGTTCTATACCAGGCTGGCCTTGAACTCAGATCTGCTTGCCACTATCTCCTGGATTAAAGGCGTGTTTGTATTCAAGCCGGATCACACAGATCTAGAAGGTCTTTGGATGTCATCTCTTGCCAGAATACTTATGCTCTGATTTAACATTCCTCTATAAACGTTAAGATGTAAATTAGATCTTGTCACATTCCAGCTTAAAACCCTTCAGTGACTCCCTAGTGCAATTAGGAAAAGCTAAACAACTTGCCACAGGTTACAAGGCCAGACTAGAGGTGACTTCGGACTACCTCTTCAGGATCCACTCTACGCTTTCTCAGGGGTGCTTGAGAAGCAGCGCTTTAGAAGCAACTGCCTCTAAAACTTTGCACAAACATCATCGCGTTTACCCTACTACTCTACATATTCAGTCCTCCGTTAAGCTTCAAGAGCACCACCAATCTGTCCACGCATTCACTTTTCTCCACTACAAGACTAGTTTCCAGAAGCCCTGGGCCATCCCATCGCCCACACACCATCGCCGGATAACGTCACGAGGGCTGGGACCTCTCATCTCCTGGGGACCAGCTCAAGACCCAGAGAGGGTCCTCAGGAAAGCATTTGTAGGATGCCTTTTACAACCAGACCGCCCGCCTCCGAAGTCAGGGTTCTTGGCTTTAAAGCCTACGAGAAGTGAACAGGAAGCAAGGGCAAAGCCACTTTTCCCCAGCCCCGAGGCGTTGCTGACGGGTTAGATCTCCAGGACCCGGCTTTTGCTACCTCCAAATACAGGAGACGAGGCACAGGGGCGAGGTTAAGCCAAGGAAGCCCAGGTCCCCTCGCCTCTTTATCTACTCCCCACCATGGCAGTAAAAGAAGACAGCAAGAACCTGGGAGGGAAAGAAACCTATAACTCAGCCCGGACGTCTCGCCAAAGATACCTGGCTTGGTGGCTAGACGGCTCCTGGCTCCTCCTCTTGTGTCCTCGCGTCGCGCTCTGCCCGCTGGGATTCGTAGTCCTTCGTAAGGCATCCGAGAAAGCGGACTGCTAAGGGGAGGCAGCGCGGGGGAGGGTGGGTAACCCAAGGGGCTTTTGGGAGTTGTAGTTCAACATAGTCTAACGAAGGGGGGCGGGAAGGATTGAGGAGAAAAACTGGGTAATAAGTCTTACCAAACTTTGGTTGTGTGGAATATGAACATTTTAAGAATCTGTTATCCTATGAACATTATTAGTTTCTTTAATGGTTCAAAACGTCGACTCTGAAGTACAGAGAAACTACAATTCCCACAAAGCAGTGCACGCCGAAACTTCTGCAGGGAGGAATCAACCTCTACGCAGACTCCCTGGCGCGAGCTCGGTAGTGAGGCAACATGGCGCCGCCGACCATTGCTTCACGTCTGTACTCGTTGCTGTTCCGCAGGACTTCCACCTTCGCCCTCACCATCGTAGTGGGCGCCCTTTTCTTCGAGCGTGCCTTCGATCAGGGCGCAGATGCCATCTACGAACACATCAACGAGGGGGTGAGGGTCTGAGCCATCCTGACCTTGGGCCCGCCTGAAGGGTGACTGGGAGGGAGCTAGGATGGAACTCCAGGACCGGGTTGAACAATGACCACTGTCTGGAGACTATACATTCAGTTCACTTGAGCTTTTGTGAGCCCTAAATCTCACATTGACCCCCACATTGCAGAGGTTGGGAGTATTTGTATGTCCTGTCAGACATTCCCACAAGTTCATTTATGAAAGCGAACGCCTGAGGTTAAAGGACTTACGGAGTCCGAACCACCTCATAAGTCGGTGGCAAGTAGGTTGGATCTCCTACCCCTTCCCCCTTGAAGCAGGGTTTCAAGGGCAGATTTCAGCAGGCCAGTTTTTAAAACTAAGTCTCTAGACAATGTGACCTTTTAAAATTGATATTTCAGTTCCCAGATCCTCTCACTCAGGCAGCTTTGGGTTAAGTCACTTTGGATTAAAAGTGGAGGCTATGAAATGTTTTTTTTCTAGATTTATTTTTTTATTATGTATACAGTGTTCTGCCTGCAGGCCAGAAGGGGGACACCAGATCTCATTATAGATGGTTGTGAGCCGCCATGTGGTTGCTGGGAATTGAACTCAGGACCTTTGGAAGAGCAGCCCACTCAGTGCTCTTAACTTCTGAGCCATCTCTCCAGACCGGCTATGACATCTTAAACCCTAGCTTAACCGTGGCATTGAATAAAGGTCATAGTGCTAACCACGTCTTGAGATAGAGGTGAGGCGCCACCATTCATAATAGAGGATACCACTGCAAGATAGCATGCGTCCCATGTTTTAGCGAGAACGTGGGACCACAAAGTAGGAAATGGCCAGGCCTTTTGACTGAACTGGTCCAGATTCTATGCATGATTTATGGCATGAGATTGTGACTATTCCAGGAAAGGCATTGAACAGGTGGTATCGACTGGTTTTTTTTTTTTTTTTTTTAGTTGTTGATTTTGTTTTTGAGACGAGGTTTTTCTGTATACACCAGGCCGGCCCAGAACTCACCCACCTGCCTCTGCCTCCCGATTGGCGTGTGCCACCACTGCCCAGCAACTCAACTGGTCTGTTTGTCTTTCTTTTCTTTTTTTGGTTTGTTTTTAAATTGTTTTAATTTTATGTGTATGTTTTGCCTTCATATGTGTGGACCACATTCGCCTGGTGCCCAGGGAGGTCAAAAGAGGGTGTTGGGTCCCCTGGGTCTGAGTTACAGATAGTTTTGAGCTATCATGTGGGAGCTGGGAATTGAACCCAGGTCCCCTAGAAGGGGAACCAATAGTCTTTACCACTGGGCCATCTTTTCAGCCCACTCAGGGCACTCTGATCTACAACCCAGAAAGGCTCTGTCTACCAGTTGCCATATTGCCCGTACAACAGTATTACCATTCTGATCTTTTTAAAGCGTTTCCGTAGATCATGCATGCCCACAGATACCAAACATTGTCTTAAGTACATTGTTATAACCCATCCATTTCCCCATGCTTTTAAGAATGAGAATTGCAGCTAATTTAGGTCTGAGGAAAGAAAAAGTGACTCTGTGAAGTTTTGGGGAGGCTAGGCATCTTGTATGCTCTGGTTTTTTAATAAATGGGAGTTTGGGACCATTCTTTCAACTTTTACTTACTTGTAAAAGTGCCATTTTCTCTTCCCACTTACTTAACATGATTAAAGAGATATGACTGGTTCGTTTGTTGCTTTTTTGTGTAAGTTTGGATTTTGGTTTTTCAAACAGGGTTTCTCTCTCTCTGTAGCCCTGGCTGTCCTGGAACTCTTATTACCAGGTTGACTTTGAACGAGGAGATCCACCTGCTTCTGCCTCCCAAGTGCTGAGATTAAAATCGTGAACCACCCAGAAGTTAAGAGCATTGTCTCCTCTTCAAAGGTCCTGAGTTCAATTTCCAGCAACCACTTGGTCGCTCATAACCATCTCTAATGAGATCATCCCTCTTCTGGCCTGCAGGTGTACATGCAGACAGAGCACTCATATACATAAAAATAAATATTTTTTAAAAAATATGAGCTACCACTGCCTGCCACAACTACACTTTTGGAAGTTTTCACTGATTTCTCAGTATGCTTTTGGACAGCAAGAGAAGTTGTAAAATGTGAGGGCGAAGGTTAACCGTGAACTGTTGTGTTTCAAATGCAGAAGCTGTGGAGCCATATAAAGCACAGATACGAGAAAAAGGAGTGACTCCTTGCCCCCGGGCCGGAAGGAACAGTCCCACCCATCAGCTGTTCAACTGGAGCTGGGGCCTCCGCCTAAGCATGAGTTTCAAGTTACTCTCCATGGACCACCTGTATGTTGGCAAGCAATGGCTCCACCCTACACACAGACTTTTAAGCTCAAGTGTGTTTGACCACAGCTATCAGCAAATAAATGAAAATTGTTCATGAGACCCGTTTTGGCGCTCAGTGCTTTCTTAACTCCCTGATCTTCACTTGGCAGTTGAGACCATGTCCAGGCCCCATGCAAACTCCTGAAGACTCTGCTATTTGGAGTTTTCCATTAACTCCTCAAGAGTTCTGGTCTCAACACATCAGCCTGAATGGAAGTTACATTTAAACTAGTGGTTCCTGTATTTGTTTTTATTTAATAGGAACAGGTGTTGTGGTGCCCAAGGACACATGGGGCCTCCTGCAACTGGAGTTAACATTACAGATGGTTGTGAGCTGCATGTTGAACCCAGACCCTGTGGGAGGGCAGCCAGTGCTCTTCGTTGTTGAGCTATCTCTTCAGCCCCCTCCATTTTTAAGTCACAGAAATTACTCTCTCGGCCTTGCTCTGGTAGTCTTGACCCAGTCCCTGTCTCAACTGAAGTCTACCTTCTGCCTTTTAACTCACTGAGTGACTTTGGGTGGTCTCCATGTCTCTGGGCCCCACCCTCCTGCCAGATTCCTTTGTGACAAGGTCAGTTTATGAGAGTGTGTGAATTTAAACCTAAGCCCAGCAGCTCATAGCTGTGTGTGTACCAAGGGTGGATCTGAGACACCTCATCTGTAAGGTAGGGTTAATGGAGATGGCCTATTTATTGCACGAAGGGTTTTGTGAAATTTAAATACTGTGTTTAGAAGGTACAGTGGTTAAGGGCACATGCTGCTCTCAGCAGAGGATTGGGGTTTGAAAGTAAGCAGCCATATTGGGTGGGTCACGAGTGCCTGGAACTCCAGCTACAGAGGATCACACTCTCTTGGCCTCCATGGGTTTTCTTCCTTCTTGAACAGACACATGCACAGGAAAGAGGATTAAAAGTTTGAGGCCTGGTATTACAAGTGTTTGCCCCTACGCCTGGCTATTTGTTCTTGTGAACGCTGTAGTCCAGGCTAGCCTTCAGCTCATGGTGGTAGTCCTGTGTCTGTCTTCTGAGTGCTTCAATTGTGGGCATATGTTACCATGTCCAGCGGAAATCCTGTTTCTTGCCGACTGTGCCAACAAGGGTGAAAAAGAGATGAGCAACTTTGAGGCAGGCAAACAGGAAATGGCTTTGAAGCCTGGCACGTCGCTTGGCTCAGGCTAGGGACATAACCCTTAAAGCTCTGAGCAACATGCTGTTCTAGGGTCCCCAACTGCATCGGGTGCACATACACCTACGTTAAACCGTAAAAATAAGTTGTTCTCCTTAGGTACTCCTTTATGAGGCCCAGTTTCTATTCAAACATTCTAAAACCTGGAATATATTCTAAAACCAAGGGAAATGGGCTCATCTGGCCTACATTGCTTTGGAGTGCATGTATAGTAAGACAAGCTGCCCCCTCCATTTAACAGAGATTCCTCCCATGGGCACCAAAATTCCTGTGCAGTAAGACAAACTATCCTGGAAGTGAATGTATGGGGAGAGTCCCCTCCCAGGGCTACACAGTTGGATGTGCTTCAATTAAAATCAGACGCACAGTAGAAAATAATCAAAACAGCCGCGCTCAGCGCACTCCTTAGCAACCAGGCTCTTCCCCTTGAGCCCATATAAGGAAGCCTCAGATAATCTGTGCCTTTAAGTATGCTTCTTGATGCGGCATTTGGCGTTGTCCCTGTCTGTGACATCTGTGAGTCTTTATTTCAGTGTATAGAATAAGAACCTGGGGTCCCTGGCCCAGACCAGACAGACAGACACACACACACATCATTGGACTGTTGTTTGGGATTAAAAGAAGAAAATGGGGGGCTGGAGAGATGGCTCAGAGGCTAAGAGCACTGGCTGCTCTTCCAGAGGTCCTGAGTTCAATTCCCAGCAACCACATGGTGGCTCACAACCATCTATAATAAGATCCAGTGTCTTCTTCTGTTGTGCAAGTGTATATGCAGATAGAACATTGTATACATAATAAATAAATAAAATATATATTTAAAAAAAAAAAGAAAAAAATGGCAGACCACTCAGTGACTAGCTACTCATGGTGCTTCTCCTTTCATGTTTCCCTACAGTGCTGAGGCCCTATACCCGCTAGCAAGGGCTCTACCACCGACCGGCATCCGTGGCCCTTGAGAAGTGACTAACTAAACAGCTAGACTCAGGGATGGGGTGTAGCTCAGTGCCTAACATGTTCTTGTGCAGGGCCATGTGTTCCATTCTTAGCACTAAAAAAAAAAAAGAAAAGAAAAAAGAAAGTCATGGGAGACCTCTGTAGACATTACAGAGATTGGGGTGTTTCTAGTTACATTGGGGTGTGTTCTAGCCACTTCTTTTCTGCTCCTGTGTCAAAACATTCCTAGAGTTTGGAGACTTGGAGTTTACTATGAAGAGGCTTAGCTGCTCCTCCAGAGGACCCTGATTCAGTTTTCATCCCCCACATCATAATCGTCGTGTAACTCCGGTTCCAGAGGATCTGAGCGCTCTGCGGGCCTCTGCGGGCCTCTGTGGGCCCTGCACCCACACAGTGCACAGAGACACAGGCAGCAACAACACCAATACACAGAACTAAAATAAATGAAGCTAAAAAAAATCCAACGCTGCCCAAAAGCAGCTTGGAGAGGAACTGGTCTATTTGGCTTATACTTCTAAGTCACAGCCCATGGCTGCCGGAAGTAGGGCAGAAACTGTGAAAGAACATGGCTTACTGGTTAGCAGTCAGGCTCATGCTCAGCTAACTTTCTTTTTCTTGAGACAGGATCTCTTTGCGTAGCCTTGGCAGGCCTGGAGCTCACTCTGTAGACCAGGCTGGCCTTGAATTCAGAGACTGACCTGCCTCTGCCTCCTAGAAATAAAGGTGTGTGCCACTATGCCTGGCACAGCCAACTTTCTTATACAGCATGCATATATGGTACTGCCCACGGTGGACAGTTAAGATAATTCCTCACAGACAGGACCTCAGGCCAAGATGATGGAGACAATTCTTCCGTTGAAGCTTCTTCCCAGGTAACTCTAGGCTGTGACGTGCCGCCAATCCAACTAACCAGCAAAGGGTGTGTGATGATGAAAGGAGATTAAATGGGGTGGGGGAGACAAATTACAGCAGTTCCGTTAGACTCAAACCTGTAAAGCTCTACATTGAAGCAATCGGATTTGGCACTGTGGGATACGCACACAAGCAGTTCTGAGTGCTGGGACTGAAAGGAAAGGTTTATGTCACATATTTCTTTAACACCTCAAGGGGACACAAGACAACTCCTGGGCTCCTTTACCCCCTATCTGCTCAAAGCATGCTCAAAACAGCTTGGTCATCCAACAGCAGATGAACCGCAAGGCTGGAATGTTCCCAGGCCTGGAGCCCCTTAGGAACACACCCAGAAAAACTAGTGGGGCTTGAGATGGCTACACTTATGACAAAGCAGGAGCTATGGCCAAAGAAAAGCCTTATGCAATAGACCGCCCTTCCCCCCAGAACCCCAGACGCCAGGGAACCTGCCAGAGCAAAGTCACAGCGTTTGTTCTTAGTTGACTTTGAAATCATTAGTTTTGGAGGTCACCCAGGGAGCATGGGCATGATGAGCATGTGCAGCAACACTACCTACGAACCATCTCCTGAGGCCAGAGCATCTTTAGTGAGTGACCTTTCTGTATGGCACCATCTTAGATCCTGGACACACAGTAGCAAGACAGGTCCCCACTCACTGGAAGCTGTATGTGAGGGAGACACACATACAGCAGAGAGGACATTGGGTAAAAGGTTTTATTCTATTTTTTCAGTGTTGTGTTTGTGGGCATTTACTTATTCATTTATTTAGAGACAGGGCCTCTTTACATGGTTGTGGCTCTACTGAAATTCACTATATAGACCAGGCTAGCCTGGAACTCACAGAGATCCACCTGTCTCTGTCTCCCAAGCGCTGAGATTAAAGGTTTGTGGTACCATGCCTGGCCTTAGGCATGAAGAAAATACAACTAAGACATAGTGTTGTCAGACGCCTTCAAGAGGCAGAGGTGAGGTGACTCTCTGGGAGTCTGAGGCCAAAGTGGTTTGCATAGTAAGACTCCATTTCAACAGATGATTAAACTGAGTGTTGTCAGGGGTGACGTGGATCTGAAAGCCACACAGGGGCAGTAGTCAGGGAAGTTCATAGCAATGATGTCAGAACTGACGTGTGGATGGAAAGCTAGGCCAGGACAAGGTCAAGAGTGCCAGAACTTCAGGAACAAGGACAACACGAGCAAGGCCCTGAGGTGGGTAGGCGCTGCCAGTCACCAAACCAAGAAAAGAGTTTAGAATTCATTTTTAAAAGAAAAGGAAGCCCGAAGGGTTTTTCTTCCTTCTTCCTTCCTTCCTTTTCTTTCTTTCTTTCTTTCTTTCTTTCTTTCTTTCTTTCTTTCTTTCTTTCTTTCTTTCTTTCTTTCTTTCTTTCTTTGTTTCCTTCTTTCTTTCTTTCTTTCTTTCTTTCTTTCTTTCTTTCTTTCTCTCTCTTTCTCCTTCCTTCCTTCCTTTCTTCCTTCCTTCCTTCCTTCCTTCCTTCCTTCCTTCTTTCCTTCCTTCCTTCCTTCCTTTTCTTCCTTCCTTCCTTTTCCTTTGTGAAAAAGGGTTTTACTGTGTACCAGCCCAGGCTGGTTTGAACCTTACTACGTTGCCCAGAGTGGCCTTACTTGTAGCAATCCTCTGCCTCAGTCTACCAAACACTGGATTGCAGGTGTGAGCCATTGCTTTGTCAGCAATCTGATCAGATCCAGGAATGGATCAGATGGGGTCAGTGAGGGAATGAAGACAAAATAGACAGAAAGACACATGAAGAGAAAGGATCGGGTGATCTGGGCTCCCTGCTGGAGAAACTGGAACACTCAGGAGTGCGTATTCTACAGTGTTGACGGACAGGAAGGGTTATGACGTACAGCTGATGGAGGGAGGCATCATTACATGAGATAAACAAAGTGGCAGGGTTTATGGTATACAGCTGAGCAAGGAGGCAGGGTCAGCTGGTCTCAGCAGGCACAGGCTCTGGGGGGGAGCAGTCTCCAGGCTGTAACACTCTGGGGGA